TATGATGAAATAGAATATAATTGTCTCCCTCTAACTCTGTAATGACATTAACTATGACACTGTCGTCTCTCCGTGTGTGAAATATTGTGACATTGTGACTTGTGTTGAGCCGCTAGTGAGCAATGAGGGGTGAAGATGACCATGCTGAGATAAAACAAACAAATGCAGCTTTCTTCATATTAAACAATTCTGTACAACTCACACAATAAACAAACAGCATTGAAAAACAAAAAAGTAGTACTATAAATGTTGACTTGCTTGCTCACCTACAAAGACGAAAGGTCAGTTCTGGTTTGTAAATCAATCATTTCCATGTAAATACACAGATCAGGCATAACATTATGACCACTTACTTGTTTCTACTCTCATTGTCCATTTTATCAGCTCCACTTACTATATAGGTGCACTTTGTAGTTCTACAGTTACAGACTGTAGTCCATCTGTTTCTCTGCATACTTTGTTAGCCCTCTTTTACCCTGTTCTTTAGTGGTCAGGACCCCCATGGACCCTCACAGAGCAGGTACTATTTGGGTGGTGGATCATTCTCAGCACTGCAGTAACACTGATGTGGTGGTGGTGTGTTAGTGTGTGTTGTGCTGGTCTGAGTGGATCAGACACAGCAGTGCTGCTGGAGTTTTTAAACACCTCAGTGTCACTGCTGGACTGAGAATAGTCCACCAAACAAAAATATCCAGCCAACAGCGTCCTGTGGGCAGCGTCCTGTGACCACTGATGAAGGACTAGAGGATGACCAACACAAACTGTGCAGCAGCGGATGAGCTATCGTCTCTGACTTTACATCTACAAGGTGGACTGACAAGATAGGAGGGTCTAATAGAGCGGACAGTGAGTGGACACAGTGTTAAACTCCAGCAGCACTGCTGTGTCTGATCCACTCAGACCAGCACAACACACACTAACACACCAGTGTTACCATAGTGCTGAGAATGATCCACCACCCAAATAGTACCTGCTCTGTGAGGGTCCATAGGGGTCCTGACCACTGAAGAACAGAGTAAAAGGGGGCTAACAAAGTATCAGAGAAACAGATGGACTACAGTCTGTAACTGTAGAACTACAAAGTGCACCTATATAGTAAGTGGAGCTGATAAAATGGACAATGAGCGTAGAAACAAGGAGGTGGTCATAATGTTATGCCTGATTGGTGTATATTTAAATGTATAGTGCTACACTAGCGGACCTCCAAAAGAGGCACAACACGTTTCTTTAGTAAGCCAAAAGTGGCTCTTCTATGGCATCGCTCCAAAGAACCGTATTTGGCACCTTTATTTTTTAGAGATGGAGGCCATCATGGACGTGGAGTTCATCGCGTTTTACTGCGCTCCTCAGACACTGTTTGTCATGCGTTCTGGGATGATGTAAGGTTCTTGTCCCGCTATAGCCGAGGCACGTCACACGCACTCTTGGCTCTGCTCAGCTCGTTAGGGTTGCATCAGCTTCTCTCGCAGCCCAGCTGTGCAAGACTCAGACAGGCTATGATGCAAGCTCAGGGCTGAGGTCTGGGACCACTAACCGCATGGTCAGGCAGGAGGGTACGGGGGGGGCAGTGATGGGCTGGTGAATGCTTTCCGTGAACCCAGAGCCATGTGATGATTTGGTGAACATTTTGAGAGGAAAATCAGCCCGCTGGTGCAGACAGACTCCCAGAGCCACAGAGTTATGTGAAGGTCAAGTTTTGGCTTAGTAAGGCAAACCCATAATCCAACAGTGCCAGTAGGAAATAAATAAACCTCTTGATAGTCTCCTTCATCTGAGTTTTGGTCACTGAAGAGAACCGTTATGAAATTGTTTACATTTGTTTCTATTAAGGATGTCAATGCATTTTCCAGTGCCACTTTATTTTGAGTGGACCTTTTTAGATGAAACAAACACTCAACGGACTCAGTAACATGTCAAACACATATAAGGGTTAGGATTAGGTTAAGGTTATGGTTAGGATTAAGGCCAGGGTTAGGGTTAGGATTAGGTTTTGGGTTGAGGTTAAGGTTATGGTTAGGATTAAGGCCAGGGTTAGGGTTAGGATTAGGTTTTGGGTTGAGGTTAAGGTTAAGGTTAAGGTTAGGATTAGGGCCAGGGTTAGGGTTAGGATTAGGTTTTGGGTTGAGATTAAGGTTAAGGTTAAGATTAGGGCCAGGGTTAGGGTTAGGATTAGGTTTTGGGTTGAGGTTAGGGTTAGGATTAGGGCCAGGGTTAGGGTTAGGATTAGGTTTTGGGTTGAGGTTAAGGTTAGGGCCAGGGTTAGGATTAGGTTTTGGGTTGAGATTAAGGTTAAGATTAAGATTAGGGCCAGGGTTAGGGTTAGGATTAGGTTTTGGGTTGAGATTAAGGTTAAGGTTAAGATTAGGGCCAGGGTTAGGGTTAGGATTAGGTTTTGGGTTGAGGTTAAGGTTAGGGTTAGGGTTAGGGTTAGGGCCAGGGTTAGAGTTAGGATTAGGTTTTGGTGTTGAGGCTAAGGTTATGATTAGGATTAGGGCCAGGGTTAGGGTTAGGATTAGGTTTTGGGTTGAGGTTAAAGTTAGGGTTAGGATTAGGGCCAGGGTTAGGGTTAGGTTTTGGGTAAGGTTGGTAAGATTAGGTTTTGCGTAATGGAAGTAACATAATAACAACACATCTACTTAATGTAAGTAATGTATCAACAGAACATCTACAATATATTTACTTAAATGCATTCAGGTGCTTCACTACTGCTACTTCACTGATATGTTGTTGATGTGTTACTGATAATCTGTTAAGAGTCTATTAATCATCTACAAAGGACCACTCAGAATAAAGTGTTACCCATTCTCCTAGTTTGACCCTTCAAACCAATGTAGCGCAGGCTGGAATCTGAGATTGTAGGCCTCTCGTTCTTTTAAATGACTTTTAAAGTGATACTTTAAGCACCTTCAGCAGACACGGCTGCTCTCGGTGATGAAAATCACATTTACTCTGTGGAACCAGGCATTCACACAATGAAAATAGTGTCATTGCATTATTGAAAGTAATAAATACAATCTGATAAAGGTTGTTTTAACCGCTCATACAGCTATGATAAAGTGCAGTGCTTTTAAGTGGAACAGAATATTTTGGTGGTGTCTAATTTGAGCATATAAGATGTAGGATTAATCATAATTAACTACACAAGATAATGTGATGAATTGTGATAGATTATTTAAATTGTTTGGCCCTAATTTCTACATCACATACATAATCTACACTCTTTCTGAATCTAAAATCTGTCCATTCCAGAAGCCCCAGCCCCCCCTCCTCTAATCGCTCTACCTTTAACACTGTTGATTCTTCTTCCATTATAAACACCATAACTACTTCTAAAACTACAACTTGTTCTCTTGATCCCCTCCCAACAACCTTAACTAAAGCTTGTCTTTCTGCCCTGGTCCCTCATCTCACAATTCTTGTCAATAACTCGCTTCTCTATGGACAGGTACTCAGGAACTCAGTAACTACCGCCCCATTTCTAACCTCCCTTTCCTGTCCAAAGTACTTGAACGAACTGTGGCTAGCCAACTTCAGTATTACTTATCAGCTAACTGCCTCTTTGAACCATTCCAGTCCGGATTTCGTCCCTCTCATAGCACAGAAACTGCCTTAATAACGGTCACTAATGATCTCCTGGTGTCTGCCGATACTGGTGCCCTTAGCATCCTTCTACTTCTTGACTTGAGTGCAGCCTTTGATACAGTGAGCCACTCAATCCTCCTATCAAGGCTGCGTGATCTGGGCATTAGGGGCACTGTCCTGGAGTGGTTTAAGTCATATCTGACTGACAGAAACCAGTTTGTCACCCTCGGTGGCCATACTTCTCACACGTCTGTGGTTACTCAGGGGGTCCCCCAAGGCTCAGTCCTTGGACCTCTTTTGTTTATTGTGTACATGCTTCCTCTTGGCCACATAATACGTAGTTTCAAGCTGAACTTTCACTGTTATGCGGATGACACACAGATTTACATTAGCACTCAATCTATTAAAAATCCATCCCTCACCCAGCTTCAAAACTGCATAACAGAAATGAAAACATGGATGAAGCACAACTTTCTCATGTTAAATAGTGACAAAACAGAACTTATTCTTGTAGGATCCAAATCAACTCTCTAAAACTTCTTCTTTCTCTCTTTCCATCGACAGTGTAACTCTGTCCCCTTCCCCTCTGGTACGAAATCTGGGCGTTCTCTTTGACTCAACTCTCTCATTCAGTGCACACATCAACTCTGCAGTTAAAACCTCTTTTTTCCATCTCCGTAACATTGCAGAAATTCGATCGTCACTCTCTCAGTCTGCTGCAGAAACCCTTATTCATGCATTCATTTCTAGTCGCCTGGACTATTGTAACTCTCTCTACTTGCTGGTATTAACTCCTCCCATTTATGCAAACTCCAGATGGTGCAGAACTCTGCTGCTCGCCTCCTCACCCGCACCCGTGCACATGAGCATATTACACCCATCCTGCAACATCTCCACTGGCTTCCTGTAAAATACCGCACACAATTCAAAATTCTTCTCCTCACATACAGAGCTCTACATAACCCTGCTCCTTCTTACCTCTCTGATCTACTTCCCTACAAACCAACTCGCACTCTCAGGTCTTCCTCTGCTGGTTTACTCACTGTCCCACCTTCCAAACTTCATGGGTGCGGTGATCGTGCTTTCTCTAGGCTGGCTCCCCGACTCTGGAACTCTCTTCGCTCACATATTCAACAGGCCAACTCTGTCTCCACTTTTAAATCTAAACTTAAAACTTATCTCTTTTCTGTTGCTTATAACTGTTCTCAATCCTAAACCAGCCCTTTGCCAAGTCCTGCTATGTTTTGCTTGTGATGTTATGACTGTGCTTCATGTTCTCATGTCTATCTTTACTGTTCTGTAAGCGTCTTTGAGTTCTTGAAAAGCGCTATATAAGTATAATGTATTATTATTATTATTATTATTATTATTATTATTAAATATGACCAATAAAGAGTTATATCTCTTCCTTTTTTCAGATGGTCATCATGTATGGGAGATGGAAGCCAAAGTTGACAAGGACGCCTTTAAACCAGTAAGTCATTCACTTGAGCTTTGATAATTGTACATTTTATCGCTGTCATGACAAAACCTCCTGTCTGAAATGATATCTTAATAGGAAAAGGAAGAAACATTAATTTTAGTGTACTAAACAGTGGTGAGACATTATTGCAAGTAATTTTCAGGCCCATTTTATTGGTCATTCAAAATGAAATGTTCACACAATGTAAAGGGCAGCTGGAATGGTGTCCAAAACTACAACAAAATACAAAAATATACAAAAAAGAAAACAATAAAATTGAGTTATGATATACGCATGCATTAAGTACTTTAAAACAGTTATCAGTCCATAATTACATGGATGCAGTGCTGACAAATAGAGGCTAAAGCATCAGTCAGTAATGGGATTCAACCTGTAGACCAGCCACAATATATACAACGCTACATTACACTGTTAGAAATAAAGGTTCTGTACGTTTTTCATTCATTAAGGTACAAACAATGTAAATGTTCCCTCAAAGGTACAACAGTGGTTTTAAGGTCTGATTGTGAACCTTAAATCAGTTTTTCCAAGTGAAAAGTTCGTATTTGTACCTTTTCATAACCGAATGTTTTAAAACAGAACAGTAAAATAAAGTCCTGGAGACGAGACGGGGTGTGTGGAGTCAGTACAGCTTAGAACATATCATTTCAGTGGATTATGGTTCAGTTATGTTCCCTGACTAAAGGTACTGAGATGAACCCTTGAGGGTTCCACCCCAGTGACAAGAGGGGTACTGCCCCAGTGAGAGTTTACTACCTTTATTTCTGAGAGTGCATATACGAATGCTACGTTACAAGCATGTACACACTAAGGCTGCACAATATGTCATTTGTTAAAGGAGTGAAATCCAATTTATCCAATTTTCCACCTGCTTTTGTTGTTAAGTGAAGATATGTTTGGTGTCCAAGTCAGTAGTCACCCAAATCTGTTCTGTGAATAGATCCCCAAAACATCTCTCAATCTGCTGAAACTTCATCCAGATCTTCTTGAATGTCATGCAGACTTGTAGATGTGATTTAGGACACATTCCGACTATAAACTATAAACATCATCAGAACTTCACCGAGTTGCTGAATGCAGCAGGCAGGTATTTTAGATCACAGGTGTTGTGCCAAATTCTGACTTCCCCACAGGGTCCACACACATGACGCAGTCCACAGATTTCTGTTGTTTATATTTATAAACATATATGTTCAATTCAGGATTACAGTTATAAATGTAACAGTTATAGTTATTAACAGTTATTTATAAAAAGAAAGAAGAGAAATTGTGAATGCAGTCTGTGCAGTTCCCATGCCTGTGTGACGTGCATGTATGCAAGCAGGCATCAGAATTCGGCACAACACCTACACAGCACCACTTTATAGTTCACAGTGAATCATACTGTGTCCTAAACCACATGAACAAGTCTGTGTGACCTTAATGAAAATCTGGATGTGGTTTGTGGGTTGAGAGAAGTTTGAGGAATGTGATTACAGAAAAGATTTCGGTGACTAATGACTTCTGCTCTTTTTTAGCAACATTAATCTCATATCTCCAGCTCTAAACTAAGTAATCAAAATTTGGGCGTTATGATCTTTATAAAGCATGATGAAGTTCTCTCTGCAGTCCAAATCAAAAGGATGAATCAGAATTCTTCTTTCCCCATTTTTATCCCCAAGCTCACAGGATTTTTAACCTCTTATTCCCCAGGGTATATTTTGGTTTTTCCATCTGAATTTACATGACCAAATCATAAGGCAAATTATTCAGTAACTGCATGAAATAAATGTACATTTTTATTTTATTTTATTTTTTTTTTTTTTGTAAATGTTCCCCTCAAATTAACAGAACATGTGTTTTATGATCACACATAGTGCTATATGCTTACAATTTACTGCTGAAAACTAAAACTCTTAGACGCTCTTTGTATTATTTTATAAAAATAATGTTTACAGAGCAGATCACTGAAGAGACGCCATCTGTTTATAGTTTATAGCCCAGATTTGTGGAAAAATGGGTCGACTTTCAGTAGATAAAAAAATTGTGAGTTCAGCTTCTTTTATAATAAGGGTTAAAATTACATCACCCATCTATTTGACTGGAAAGAAGACAGTTACAGCCTCATACGACCCCCACCTTTAGAATGTAGCTTATGAAATATGAAAGTTATGAAGAATATGACGAAGTGTGTTTTGAAACCACCGGTGGTCTCAAGGAGTTTAAAAGGTTAAACCTTTAAATGATTTAGTAAGAAATAATAGACAAAAATAAGTAGAAATTGTAGAAATACTGCCGACTGCCCAGCTAATTTAAAACATCACCTTTTTTTTTCCAAGTATCCAAAAGTATCTCAAGTCAATGATTTGTTAAAATATAAGTTCTGCTGTTTTGAAAGTGAAGTCTTCGATTCTCAGTGTCTCAAAGCTACGGAGCCCTGCTGGTGACATCCGGTACAAATAAAAATAATGTGTGGCCACTCCATATTAGCGCATGGAAACGAGATCCTAATGCGTGACCACAACTTAGAAAGGCATGGGAATGAAATGATTAAGTTGTTGTCACGACTAGTAAGATGGGTGTGGGGACAAGATCCTAATGCGCGGCAATGATTTAGTAAGGCGTGGGAACAAGATAATTAAGTCGTGGCATGGGAACGAAATTATCCCCTTTTAAGCTGGTTAAGGCTTAATTATCTCATTCTCATGCGTTACTAAGTCGTGGTCTCTCTTTAGGATCTCATTTCCACGCCTTACTAAGTCATGGCCACACATTAATTTTATTTATGCTGGATGTCACCAGCAGGGCTCTGTGCAAAGCTGCACTGAATGTCAATGAAACCTTACAATTACAAAATTACAATCCCTATACAGTCTAATGCAGACGTTTGGGCGCCTTTGGTGAAATTCCTTGATTTGTTGATTTTTTTAAGTGAAAATAAGTGAACACCCTCTACAGAGACACACTTCTGCACATTTTAATACACAATCACTGTTTATTTTTGCTGAATTTAACAAATTTGGAAAAAAATAAAACATAAAATATGGCCAAACGTTATTCACAGAAGACGATGACTGTCTCCCTCCTGCTCTCTCAGTGACTGACTCATACTCCCAAAGCTTAAAGACCACAGTTTACACTTTGGGATTAGACTGTGTCTGTGTGTGAGGCGGTACACCTGCTCCCCATACACACACACACAGAAACACACAGACACACACAGACACACACGCACATAGACACACACACACACACTACTAAAATATGTCTGTCTGCGTCTGCCTGCAGGCCTAAATTCTAGTCTGTTGGAACAGGCCCATTCTAAACATGGACAGTACCTAGCCAGTGTTCCCCTAAGCAACATGGAATTTGCTTGAATGAACTGCTGGTCTTTTGTCTCCGTCTGGGAATCTGACAGAATGGACCTGCAGTACGAGCTCTGATCTTTTAATCCTGAGCTTGTGTTAAACTGAGCCACGCTTCCCATCATTCACAAAACACACTCTCTTTAACTGATGTCGCGATTAAATCATGCTGAAATTTTGAAAAATACTGAAATTCCCCTTTAAGCATGTTGCAGTAAGCAGCAAACCCTACTGCAGTACGCTTAAAGGGGAGTTTCACCAATTTTTCAAAATGTCTGCATAATTCAGGGATTGGGAAAGAAGTGGTTCATTGTAGAGAAATTTACCAACTATTTCTTTAGAGTGGAGGTGAAAGGAACCAGAGGTCACAACACGAATACAGCCATTTTATTTGCTATCCAAAAACAGTGAATCTACACATTTTGTATATAATGTTGATAATGATAAAATAGTGGTGAATTTGAAAAAAATATGTTTTCTTGGGCACTGTTTTGCCTGTTTTACCGCTTTGCCACAAACATATTTTGAAGAAAAAAAAATTAGGCCAAAATGCTGTTATGAAACAACTATGAAGTAGCTTTCAGAGACTTCAGACATCTGGTTCTTATCACCACCACTGTGAACAATTCAGACTTGTTTTTTTTAGAATGGATCATTGCACGTCAGATCACTGTAAATGACTTTGTTTACAGCTTAATGATTGAATTATGCAGAAATTTGGTATAATTGGTGGAATTGCCCTTTAACAGTGAGACTAAATATCATTAAAAGAATACACTGACACATTTTTACCCCTTGCACAAAATGTAGCATCACTGCAAACTGCATTCCTAAATCCTCACGTATCTGCCTCATACAGCCCTGCATCAAGCTGTCAAAGGGGAACTCCACTGATTTTCCTAAATTTCTCTGTATTTAGACCAATACGATGTAAACAAAGTAATTCAGAGACATGTGATGTAAAACGAGCTGTTCCAGAGAAATTTGCAACCAAACCAGTTAGACACTTGTGGTAAAACCCAAAAAATGAGGCTTTATTGTTAGAGACTTTGGCAAAACTGGGGGTTGATGAACAAATTAGAGATCCAAATACAAAGAAAGACAAATATAACAAAACCAGGCAACCAGATCCAAAGAGCAAATTCAAAAACAGTCAAAGAATCCAAGATGGGTCAAAAATACAAAAGGGCCTCAGTAGTCCTCACAATTAGAAGCAACACCTCGCTAAGAACCTAATCTGAATATAGTACCTTTATACTACTTTAAAGAACAAGTGAACCACATTAGTATTCGGGTGAGAGTGAACGATGATTGGAGCGCTGTGGAGGGTCAGCAGGCACATGATCCCCAGAGGATTCTAGGAGATGGAGTCCATGGACGCTTCAGGGATGCGTAACCATTCAAAATCCTCAGAGCTGTGGTGATGGGCACCAGGCATAATACCTCTATAAGCTTCCAAAGAAAGCTATTACATTTTGGATAGTAAATAAAATGGCTATATTTGCACAGTAGACATGGTGACCCCTGGTGCCTGTCGCCACCACTGTAAAGAAATGTAAGTATAAGTTTCTCTACAATGGACCATTTCACACCAAACCACTCTGAATGACTTTGTTTACATCTCAACGACTGAATTATACAGAAATT